ATTGTGCTCAGCCCCTGACTCGAGCAAGTGGTTAAGGCATCCGCCGTACAGATTGCGTCGTAGACGCGCGACCTCGTTCGCATCACATTCATGCACTTTTGGCACTTTCGGCGCGCTAATGAACTTTTGGTGTACGTGATTGACAGCATGCGTGTCTGCGATTTTTTCATGCCAAGCAACTGCCATGGACACAAGCTTCGTATTCTATACGTCTTTCGCTTGTGTCCTGTGAGTCTCCTGCGGAAATAAGTATTAGAGTGCCGAAAACAACGAGTGCGGTCGTCAGGACATATTTACGATATATATCCATGGTACATTATTACAAAGTAATCTTCTCCTTTCTCGACACATACAGCTAAGGTGACCAGACGTCCCGATTTTTCACCCTTTGTCCCGAATTTTTTCGAGTGCTATTCGGGACACCGATTTGTCATCATTTTCAATGACTGTCGGATAAATAATTTTCGGATCTTTTTATTCTCCTCCTCCTCTCCCCGCTTCACACATTTATGAAGTGTCCCGAATTCAGGAGTGGGAAATCTGGTCATATTAGTTAAAGTAACACGAAAATTGAAATGTATAAATTGAAACATGTGAAATGTGTTAAATTTAACACAAAACTTTTTGTAGTATAATAAATAAAAAATATATTTATTTGATGGATACTAGTAACATATTTACTTCTACTAATATACATATTTTTGTCCTGAGAAAAAATATATTTTTCAAATAAGAAAATATATACATTTTCTTATTTGAAACCTTCTCATAAAGATAATTGTTTATATTAAGTAAAAAAATTTGTATTTAGGTAAATATAAATTTTTTAGTAGTATCCACTGAATATAAATATTTTCTATTTTTTAGAAATTTCCTTTCAGTGGATATGTTAAATATATATATATATATATATATATATATATATATATATATATATATGTTCTGTTGAAAGTTTAAATATTTGTATCTCAAGACAAAAAACAATGACTGCGTTCAACAGAGAAAGCTGCTTTGTAATTTTGAAATTCGTGAATTTGATTGATATGCTCTTAGATTTAGCTCTTAGATTTTTATTAAGAATAAAAACATACACACCAATCACGAATTTTAGAACAGTTGCAAAGCAGTTTTCTCTGCTGAACGCAGCCAATAAGAATTACAGAGTTAGATACGTGAGAGAGCAAGCACTGGTACTTTTATCTTAATTGAGAAAGAGAGAGAGAGAGAGAGAGACGAATGAGTAAGAGGACGCACCGAACAGTATTAATACTTTTGTTTATATCATACGATATGTAAATAAATGACTAGTATAAATAAGTGATGAAAGTATAAACTACACGTGATATTCTCTCGGACTGAAATTAACGTGCGCTTCCTCTGATTTTACACGATATTTTATTCTTTCATTTTGTCTATACGCGCGCGCATACAGCATTGTGCATTTCACGAAAATTAACGGGGAATTATCTGGAGTTCCGAAGACCCGTCTCGATATCGGTCTTCGATTACATCGCGAGCTTCTAACAATCGCGCGCACATGAGCGGGGAGAATCGATCGTCGAAAGTTCACGGGGTAGCTTGGCCTCGAAATGAGGCCGGACAAATTTCAGCTTCCAGCGAGTCCACGTGTTATGACGCTCGTTCGGGGGCTTGGGTTAATATGGCGTAGTTATCAAGAGCTGAATAAATCTGAGTGAGATACAACAAAGTACAAGTTGAACGGTGTGGAAGTGCGTCGCGCGCCTTGCTTCAACGACGATTGCTCGCGAGGTAAAAATGTCTTCCAGATCGAGCTATTAATAGATTTGTTGCTCGGGGAATTTCAGCCGTCCACGCGTAATCCAATATCAGCCGGCGCATGACACACACGGTGCGAATGTAAAGCGTTCGTTCTTTAAATATGAGTCCACAGAGGCGCAAAGTAATGCGATACTAATTATAAGAGCGTGCATTATACCGAGAAACTTGGAGTGAAATTTCTGGATATTGAACGTCATGAATTCCCGCGACTTTCAACGCATTTGTGCTTATTACATGAAGCTATTACACGAAACAAAGGCAGCTCTTATACGAAGAGAGCCGTAGAATGCACCTGACGTCAGTTCTATTTCCCCCTTCCCTCGCTCTGACGATTCCGTTGTATTTTGAAAACTGAAATAATCCCGAAGCACTGGTCGCGCGCGGATATCGCGCTCGTAAAAATGTATACAACACAGAGCAACGCGAATGGTTTTTTGGATGTGGCAAAAAAAACCACGTATATCTTCATCCGGGCGAAGGTATTGCTCTGGGGAACGGAAGATCGGTATTGAACAGCCGACGGACGACGACTCGTCACGCCTGTTCGCATCGACGAAAGCGTAAAATCATTCTCGTTAGCGCGAAAAACGTTAATCCTCGACGCTAACGACACAGCCAATTATGTGGCTTTTTTTCACTAGAAAATTCCTGCCATCGCAGGAAAGGGGATTTATCTAAGTGTATGCGTTGTACATCGCGGCGTATCACTACGCGCGTTTCGCTATTGCGGCTCGAAACAATTATGCAGAGTGTTAATTATCGTGCAATACTTGCGTAAATGTGTCGAGGAAGGTCGTCATTTATCGCAACCTTCCTATTTTTAACAATGCAGAACATTACAAAAATTTTTGTGTTAAATTTAATACATTTCACACATTCTAATTTATTCACTCTAATTTGTATTAATTTAACAAGGCGAAAATGTTAACAAATAACACAACTTGTGTATATATTTTACGTATAAAATATATCAGCGTACGTATAAAAATGTATATACATTGAGAAAAGAATATTTGAACATTTATTTATAGTAGAGAGAGAGGATATAACACTTATCTCTATGAAATGAAGCTTATTTCTTTATGTAAATTTTATATTCCGCACGAATAAGTTTTCAAATTTTTTTTTTCAGTGTACATGTTACATACACTAGAAAAAAAAATAGTTAAAAATTTGTTTGTAGAGTTTGGTTTTTTCTGTGAAATAAAGTTTATTTCTGTGAGAGAAAGTAAACTTTATATCTTATAAATCAATTTTCAAATATTTTCTTGTCAGTGTATAAATTATGCACGGAGAAAAAAAGTTTAGTTGCATTAACATCAATTTTGATTGTAATAAACTAACAAATGCATTTTGCTCGAACAGAATATGTTTCTTAGAACTAAATTTGTAAATCATAAGAACATCAGAAATCCTATGTATAAACCCAATTTGTTATATAATAAAACCACGCTGATAAGATCAAATTTTTCCTCATATGTTATTTTAACATTTGGAGACGATAAATAGTGACTCAATGCAAAATAGTCAAAGCAACATAACGGAATATATTAAATTAACACACAGATATGTTAAGAATATGATACAAAAGTTTCTACACAAATATAAATTTAATTTCAACACAAATATAAAATGCTTTTTATCGTCTTTCTTTACGAATAAGCTTTTAATTTAATTTTGTTCAAGTATCGTCTACCTAAAATTAGCAAAGAATATAATTCTCTTACTCGTTTGGCTTCCTAAAGTTCGCGAAAAGTCGCTTTCTCATTGTTTTATAACTCGAGAAGTATTGACGTCTCAACATTTTTGTATCAAAAACTTCGACTGCAGTTCAGCTCCAAAATACGCTATTCAAATATTGTGCGATATTTTTGGAACGTCCTGTATATGGGAAACGTTACAATAAGCGGCTACAATTGATATTTATCCTTAAACGTGACCGATTCAAAGGTTTGTTTGTCCTTATGCGAAGGTCGCACACGATATTTACTTCGTCTCGCTTACCTCGCGAGGCAGAGGATCGAACGTCAACATTTAGCATTAAATGTACGTCGAGAATGTACGAACACGAAGCTGAAAATGTTTCTCTCACAGTGGCGAAACGGAACGCGCATCAAACACAGCGCTTATCGCGCTTGGGAGATAACGCGTTGAGATATCGAACTCTCCTTCACTTCTTCGGTAAACAATGTGTGTGTATGTGTGTATTACACTACGGCCACACGGCCGCTTGTTCAAACGGCGACGCTACTCGAAGCATCGTGTTCATACACACACACACACATAGACAAAAATGATTATTTAAAGGACCGGAGAAAGGACAGTGGCTCGGAAGACAAATGGATATCGACCGTCGTAAAAATATCGGTTACACAATTATTCGAACACGCAGCAAGCGTGACTAACCGAATGCCGACGTGTTCGTTTGACTCTGACGCACGCAGAGTGCGACGTCGTCTGCAGGATCGTCGTCGCAGCGCGTCCCCGCTGTGTACGCACGAGAGACCTGGCATAAACGAAAATGCAAAAGCTCACGGTATCTCGGCTCGTCTACCTGCTGCCGCTGCTGTGCAGGCATCAGTTCTCGGCCATCACCGCGTAGCTCGCCTACCGTCGTGGTCGTGTGCGCCAACGCTCGTGCGGCGGCACCGCGCGCTTCTGGAGCGTCTAACCTCCAAAACGCCGCTGCGTATCTCGCTGTCGCGTCGTCGTTGCGCCTGGACGTTCGTCGCGTGAAAAATCACGAGAGCCTACGTGCCGTGTCGTGCCGAGATCGGCCTCGCGACGACCGATCGAACGAACGAACGAACGAACGAACGTGCGAAGGAGGGACGTACGGACGGAGGCGCGACGATGGGACGCGTTGGCGGCCGACGCGCTCTCGGCGGAATTAACCCCCCCGAAAGAAAAGAAACAAAAATCGAACGTGTCCCATCGAAGCGACGCGCCTCACGACGCGTGACGTGTCGTCACGTCTACGGCGCGCGATCGTCCGATCGTCCTCGTGCGCGCGATCGACGTGCAAGCGCATGCCGGAAGATGATTTTGTCTACTCACTCGTGGCTGGCGATCCGCCGGTCGGGAAATTTCGATGAAGCCGGGACGAATTCTCACGCACAAACACGAAACTTCGCCAGGCAATCACGTCGCAATGGCGAACCGCGGGCACCGCGCCGCTGCGTCGTGAGCGCCAATCGCACGCTGCCGCCATCTCGCGGTCATTGCGGCGAAACACCAGCCTGAGTCTCGCCGTACCATTGGCGCAGCTCGGCCAATCGTGACGTTGGCGCTGCTTTACGCGGGAAAGCCTCCGTCGCAGCGGCCGCCATATTGATGAGTGAGCTTTGAATCGGAACGGTCAGCGTCCTTTTCAAAAATGGACAGCGGGAAGTTTGAGGAGGATCTCGGCGGGTTTATCGGACGACGCGCACAAGGTAACCGACGCACGATCCTTATTGACGTTCTTTAGGCTCTTTCTGTCTAACGAAGTGATCATTCGAATGAGACGATTATTGTTCATAGTATCCAGCGACAGTGATACGATGGATTTCGAGAGCGTTGATCTTGGTAGCGAAATCGATACGATGTTGCGGAACATTAATTATTACAAGTCGAAATTGCAAAGCTGTCGCGAAAAGTACGAGAACGTGGAGACTGAGATCTCCAACGTGAGGCGGTCGCAGCACAAGACGCAGCGAAAGTTGCATCACGCGCGCATGGAAGAACAAAATCTGCGGGAGCTTTTTGAAAAGATACATCTGGATCACGAAGCGTGCGTGAAGAAATCAGACGGCTACAAGGATCTGGACGAGAGGATCCACGCGACAATCAGCGAATTGACAACACAAAGAAGCGCGTTGATGCAGGAACTGGCGCAACTGAAAAAAAACACCGAGGACAACTGCAGGAAGCTCAGCCGGGTGAACGCTATGATCACGGAGCAAGAGGTAATTTTAATATTCACGTTATCATTCATCGTTCGACATGAATCGCACAAACAGGTGTCTTTCTCGTTTAGGAGAAGAATGAGGTGCTGCTTCGAAAATTGATGAAAGAATCGGAGAACTCGCTCATCCCGCAAAACATGCAATGGCGGATAAACGCTTTTCTGGAACATTTGAAGAGGGACGAAGGGCACATCGCCACTGCCAACGATACAATGGAATAGACGCGTATCTGACCTCAGTTTAACAGAACACAGTTATATAAATGTACAAATAAGCAGATACTTTCCTTCTGTGTAAGTCTAGTCGACGGGAATATCTAATTTTAATAGAAATATAAATTTTATCACGTATACACATTATGTACAATATGTATCTCCGAGATCTTTCTCGAAGTCATTCGCTGTCGGTCGTCCTGAGGCAAGTCGCTAACTGTTGGTACGTATTCTCCAAACGTTGCAACACGACGGGCGCGCGATCCAAAATCTTCGTCACATTGTCGCTCGTCGCGCGTATTCTCGATCTACTCTCCGCGATGGTCTTCATCAGGGTCTCATTCTCTCTTTCCATTTCGTTCACCCGCTTCTCCAGCTCCTCGGTTGCTTCCTTGATAGTGTGCACGTCCACCGACCTCAAATGCAAAGCCATGTTTCCCGGTGGACGCCTGTAATCAAACAGCGATTCGAATCAAGAGGGGG